CCGCCCCGCCCCGCCCGGCCACCTCTCAAAGTCCACAGGTTCCCTTGGGGGCCGATAGGGCCCAACCTGCCCCGTTAGCACATTCCTGCCCCGCCGGCCTGGCACACGGGAGGAGGGGGTCCGAGCCTCCAGGGATTAGATCCCCATGTCCAGAGGCTGCGACCCAGACCACCGGATCCCACCTCTGGCCCAGCCCGGGGAACCCGGGGTGCGGCTCCGCAGGCGCTGGGATTTGGGGGGGTGGTTCTAGCAATCTCAGGATTCCAGCAGCCAGGAGCCCGCAGCCACAGACCTCTCCTCCCTCTTCCTCAGCTTCCCTGCCCAGAGCACGTATTCCCAATTCCTCCCCACAGCCTCGCAGGGAGGACGGAGCAAGTAACTTTCTGGTGTTCGTGGGTGCTGGAGGAGGGCTGGAGGAGGGGAACCCCTTCGGGGGGAGGTGAAGGCTGTGGGAGGGGCCCAGCCAGGGCAGGTTAACAGTGGGGTTAGGGGCTGAGACCAGACCCCCCTGCTGGGGAATCCCTGGGCTCCAGAAAAGAGCCACCCAGCCGCACCCACCCCTGGCTATCATTCATAGAATTTGCATAATCTCTTCAGTGTTCTCCCTTCTCACTATGCAGGGGAGGAAACAGAGGTCCAGATGTAGACAGGTGGGGTCAACATCACTGGGAGAGGCTGCGGTGCTGGGCCAGGGCCCAGGCAGCTTCTCAGGGACCCCCACTCCACTCCTGAGGCCTGGGACTCTCTTGGGCCCTGCCACCTGGGCTGGGTGTTCAGACAGATGGTTCTCTCCCCAGGGGCAGCATCCAAAGGGGACACATCCCCAGACCTCGAAGGGAACTGAAGCTGGCGGCAGCTATGAGCTTAGGCCACCTGGCTGTGTCCAATCTCGGTTCCTGGGATCTGGCCAGCCCCTGTTCCCTGGGCACCACCCCTTCCTGTCCAGTGGGTGGGCCTGCAGTTTCATCAGAGAGGCGGCACCTATAGGTGTCAGGAAAGCCAGTTGGGGCAGTTAGAAGCCACATCTCCCAGCTTGGTTGCCAGGTGCTCAGGTCACCCTCTGTAGGCAGGTGCCAAGAACTGGTGCTGGGCCTCTTCCCAGGCCCAGGGTCAAAGGTGTTCCCTATGGCCCAGGTTAGGGGAAGGAAGATGATAGGAATGCTCCCAGGATGGGTCCCAGGTGTCCTGGGGGCCTGAGAGCCAGGAAGCCCTGGGAGACTGCTGGGCTGTTCCCAGAAATTCCTCTTTCTGGGCACTCCAGTCTGAGAAGCTAGGAATCTGGGGAGGAGGCATCAACTGAGTAACTGCTGGCCCCACCTTGCAAAGAGCCTGAGTTGGGGCAGTTTTGGCAAGGGTGTTTCCAAGGCTGCTATGCTCCTGGGTCCCCATGATGGCTCTGCCAGGCCTGCGCTGGGGACCCTGGCGGTGCCCAGCCCATGAGGGGCACAGGGCAGCAAGGAGCATCCCCTCTCCCTCCCGGACAGAGAGCCTTTCCAGGGAGAACAGGGCCAGCCCAGATCTATCCGGGGGAAGACAGCTGGGTCCCCAAGGCACTGATGGGGTTCTGAAGGGCTGGTTCGGGCCCCCGCAACCTGTGCCTCCCCAAAACAGATGTACTTGGAGCCTGAGAGAACAGAGCCAGCATCGTGGGTTTATATGATGCTCTGCTGTCACCTCTAAAGAATGAATTTTTGGACAAGGAACCCCCATTATATGTTGCAGAGCCCCACAACTTATATGGCCAGTTCTATCAGAGGGCAAGTGTGGTGGGAGGTAAGTACCTTTCCTGCCAGCCCCCGCCTCCCGCTACCTGACACTGACCCTACCTCTCAGGGGCCCCTGCAGCCTCCTCCTCCCACCCCTGCCCACACTCCACAGGGGAACACCCCACACTCTCTGAGTCCTTCAGGGGACACTGTGGAGACCCCTTCCAGGCCTGGCTCCAGTCCCACCCAGAGGGTCTGCCCTGCTTGGTCTGTGCTCACCTCTCCCCACTGACTCACTCCCCCCCACCGCCCCAACCCCTGCCTGCTCCTGGGATGCCCAAGGGCTGGTCCCTGACCAACAAGAAGAAGGGCTCAGAAACCCTGGACAGCAACCAGTTGAGGGAGGCCCCCGGGGGGTTGAACAAAGAGGCAAACACAACTGTTCCATCTTTATTAGAAAAGAAACCAAAAAAAGGGAGTGGGGCGAGCCCAACCCTAAATGACCCCTCCACTGTGACACAGGCAGAAGCCGGCTCATCCGGGCGTCGAGGTGTGGACACGGCCACCTGGGCTGGGCACGGGCACGGTTATACAAAGTCAACATTTCATAGAAAAGGATGCCAGCCCTGCTGTGTGAGCTGTGGCCATCTTCACGTGGCCAAGCTCGGTCTCCTCTGGGCCCCCATGCGGTAGGGACAGACGACGGCCCAGGCGGGTGGGGAGGACACCGCGAGGGATGGAGGCTGAACAGACTGGGGTGTGCATGGGGAAACAGCGCTCCGCCTGGGCCTGGCACGCCCCGAGGGGCTCAGGCCAAGGTGGGGCGGCCCCAGCCCTCAGATGTCCATGTAGTCGTCATCCTCATCGGTCTCGCTCTCCAGCGAGGACTCCTGGCTCGACGTCTCCAGGACCTCCAGGGCCGGCTGGCACAGGCTCTCCTTCCGCACGTTGGCAGCCGACTGGGCAGACAGGATGGCCGACTGCACACAGAGCAGGCAGGGAGCTGGTCAGGGGTGGCCCGGGCCTTGCCCCAGTCCCGCCTGTAGGTCACATCCCGCCCATGCCCCCCACTCGGTACCCGTGGTCACCTTCAGCTTCTGCTTGGTCTCCTCCGAGATGCTGCCTTTGGGTGAGAGCAGGGTTGGGGTGGGCGGCGTGACGGTGATCTCAGGGGGGAACTTGGTGGCGGCCGAGGGGATGACCAGCTTTGGCATGCTGGGCAGGAGGCGTGACTTGGCCCGGCCGGGCTCTGCCTTGCTGGGCGGGCCCTCAGGTGGCTGGGCACTCACACCGCTGGGCACCTTGGAGCTGGTGACTGTGGGGTGGACCGTGGGAGCTGAGCCTTGCTCACAGCCTCCTGGGCCTGCCTGCCCTTCCCTGGCTTGGGCCTCAGTTTCCCCTCTGGAAGACAGAGGCAACCAAGAGCGCCTCCTCCTGCTGTGTCAGACCGAGGGTGCCTTCTCTTGGCCTTCTGGTCTGTGCTGGCTGGCAGACTCCAGGCCTCCTCCTATGTCTGCCTCCCTGACTGCCTGTCTGGCTCTGGGCTGGGGGGCCCAGGGACTAGGATACAGGCAAGCCCCTGGAGCTTTCCCAGGGATTCTGCAGGCCCTCCAGGGGCTGTGCACACACGAACTGTTGCATCCCTGCAACAATGCTAGGACGCATGTCCTAATGTGGTCCACACCCCAGGGAGGATGTGAGGGCCCGGAGCCAAGTCACTTGGCCCTGGGGCATCCACTTCCCCTCCGCTCCAGAGCTGCATATCCCCAGAGCCTGGAGGCAGCGGTTCCGGGGCTGGCAGCCTCCGGGAAGCTGTAAGAGTTAGGAGCCCCGGGGTCAGCCTAGCTGGTCTCCGCATTCCTCCGAGGTCCCATGGCTTTAAAAGGAGCGGGGCTTACTCAGAGCCCACGCCTGGCTCCGAGGGGCTGGCAGCAGGCCCTACGCCCTGAGTTGGGTCGGTGAGATCCTTGAACCTAAGGAATCCCCAAGGGGGGCTGGCCAGTTGGGAAAGGATGACTACGACACGACACGGACAGTGGTCTGGTGGGACTGGCCACCCCTCTGCCTGCCCCTGACTCCTCCCTCCGCATGTAAGCCCCTCCCTTGGCCCCCAATCTGGGGAGGCTCCTCCCCGGGACTAAGCAGCCTCAGCTTGGGCTGGCCACTGGCCCTCGCTAGTCTCTGTGGAGCTGAAAGTAGAGTGAGGGGCTCTCCACCCCCCAGCTCTTCAGCCCAGGCCGCCCTGCCCAGCTGCCACTCCACTCGGCTTCCCCACCACTGGGTCCTCCCAGGTCCCGCTCAGCCAGCTGTTCACCCTGTGATCCACCCCCCATCCTTCCAGGCAAAGCTCCCCTGGTGGCTCCCAACTTGCCTTACCCTGGCTGCAGGTGGGCTCGGCGCCTGTCCGGGGCACGGGCTCTGTGGGCCAGCAGTGCGGCTCTGCCGAAGGGCTCTCAGGAATGGTCTTCACCTGCTCACTGCACAGTGGCTCCTGGGGTGGGAAGCCCAGGCCCTCTGCCCCTCCTGACAGCTCTTCTCCCTCTGTGGGGGCACAGGAGGGCCACAAGTTACGATCCTCACCCAGCCTGGAAGACAGGGCCCCTCCCTCCTGAACCCTGGGACACCTGGCAGGGGACCTGCGCTGAGGCAGCTCGCCACCTCCACCGGTGGACCAGCAGGGGCTTCTCTCGAACAATCACATGGGCGGGGCCAGGCTGGTACAGGCAGGAAACCACTCCCCCTCCAGGTGGACACTGGTGGGGCTGGCTCACTAGCTGGGGTTACTGTGTGCCTGACACAGCAGGGGCAACATGGACACTGTGGGGCCTCCAGCCCCATCAAACACCATCACGGGATTTAGAGGTGGGCTCATGGGCTCTCCCCTCTAGCCTGTGGGAGTGGCACTCAGAAACATGGTCAGGACCCAAAACCAAACCAGCTAGCTCAGACCAGAGTGGATGGAGTGGTGTGCTGGCACCGTGCCCTCCTGCCAGGCCACACCTTCCCTGGCATGAGGCAGGGGCCGGGAACTGGCCTCCTTTGAGCCAAGGTCTGATGGGCCCGAAAGGTGCCAGTTGCGTCTATGGCCGCCAGCCAGGCCATTAGTCAGCATCGGTCCCCCGGCTCCCAGGCCCCCGGGCCCCGCCTGCAGCTGCCCCTCAGCTCCTGCTGCATCCAGGCCTCCTCATGTTCCCTTCCTCACCTTACTCATCTCTTCCTTCTTATTCAGGCCGAGATGGCCATCGCCCCGCCACCCTTTCATTCCCCCACTTTCCCATCAAGTCCTTCCTCTCCCTTCTCCAGCAGGTGAAGCCTCCCCTCCCCGCACCCCGCCCCGGCCAGGCAGGAGTGAAAGCTCCTGGGACAGGGACAAAGCTGGGGTGACTTAGTACCCTGGCCTCCTGCCTGTTGGCTTCCAGCTCCCGGAGGACAGAGCCTTCCCTGGTTGCCCACGCCATGAGCCAGTCCCTCCCTTCCTTAGGACCCACTGCCTGGCAGTTATTTTCACAGCCTCTTTGTCCCAGGGTCCAGCCCCCTACACTATGGCAGGCAGGGATGAGCACCTCGGAAGGCTCCTCCTATTGCCCTCCTGGACCCGGGGAGCAGGGACCATAGCCGGAATCCTGTGCCACTGGGCCAGGACTCGGTTCACCATGGCTGGGCACGCACTCACGAAGCAAGCCCAGTGGATGTCTGCTCCAGGCCTTTCTATAGGTGGTAACACTCTGCCTGCCTCTGCCCAAACTCTTCTCATGCAGCTATTCCCTGAGGGCTCTGGAGGAGCTGCTTGGGTGGCCTGGGAGGGCAGCTGGCTTCCTTGCTGATAGGTATCTATAGGACAGGAGCATGATGAGGGAGCGGGTAGCAGGCTGCAGGGAGGGCCTGGAGCTGGTGGCAAAATGGATGGAGGCTGCCCTCAGGGGGGCCAGGTGTCAGGCTGGCTCTCTTCTACCCCAGGGGACTGTCCACGCTTTGCAGGCCCTTTCCTCTTGGTAGGCCACCAGGAGAAGGGACACTTCGGGCAAGGGCATCTAGCAAAGAGCTTCAAGCATGTGGGGTAGTGCTCCCTAGGCCAGGCAGCCCCCTCCCCTTGCCAAGACCACCCTGGAGGCCTGTGAGGAGGGCTGCAGGTGGGCCTGAGGAGGAGGGGATCAACCTGGAGGCACAGCCTTTAGAGAAGGGCCCTATGGGCCCCCCTGGCCTCAGGTTGTCTGTCAGTAGGAAATATATGGCCAGGCTGGAATCCTCTGCCATTGGGCCATTCTCCCTCCTCCCCCAGGCAGACTCATGGCCTGGGCACCAGGTCCCTAAGGACCAGTGTCCTGGAAGTGCCAGTCCTGACTCAGGCTCTTCCTGGCTTCTCGAAATGGCATGAGGCCGGCATTATAGCCTGTTCAACTCACTGCCTGGCAGCGCCCTGCTGAGGCAAGCGTTTTCCTTACCTAAAGGCTGGCCCCGTGGCCTGAAGTGTCCTTTCCACTCTTCTTCCCTGATCTAGTTCCCCATGCTGAAGGCCTGACCCCTCAGCAAAAGGGACCCTCACTTATTCATGGGCCAGGCACTATTCTAGCATGAAACCAGGTCCAGGCCCGTGGTGGGCAGATACCCAACAAAGAGATAGCACATGCTATCCCCACAGAGGTGGGGGGTGGGGGACACATGGTTAGGAGCCTCCCAGATGCCCACGAGCCCCCCTGAACTCCCCAAGGGGATGCATCTGCCACATGAGGCCAGCGGCCCTGGTCAGCACAACCTGGGTGGATGGGTGAGGTCTTAGCTAGTGACCAGGGAAGCTTGGGAGTGCCCCCGTCCATGTGCAGGCCGCAGTAGGTGGGACAAGTCGGGAGTGGACACTGCCAGCCAGCCACAGTCAGCTGCCTTCCCCTGGCTGGAGCCGGAAGGCCTGGGGGAGGGGCAGGGCAGGGCTGTCCACCTTGGGGATGGCGCCAGTCAAGGTCTCCTCTGAGGCTGCCTTCCCCCTGTTCTCACACCTTGGGGATGGTATCCTGGGAGGATCCATCCCAAGTCTGCCCTCTCAGGTGGCTTGCGACCTCCTGTGTCGCCGTCTCTGGCTACAGCTCCCAGCCTGTACACCCTCTAGTTCCCAGGCGCCTCCGCAGGGCAGGCCTGCCCTTCCTGTCCATCCAAACTGACCCCCGGGTCTGGGCTGCCCGCTGGGCACCAGCACAGGCAGATGCAGATCACATCACCTGGCCACCTTGTAACCTCTGGGGAACCAGGAGGTGCTAGGCAGCTCCTTGCTGGTGCTCTCCCTGTCCTGGAGGTTGTGGGAAGTGGGCTCTGAGGTGATGTGCCCGTCCCAGCATGGCCCTGATGCCACCCCAGAGAGCCCTGGGAACCGTCGGCCAGCAAAACACCATCCGCCTGCAGCTCCCAAGGCAGCCCCAAGAGGCCGGCAGGTCACTCCGCACCAGGTCCAAGTGTCCCATATTCTCCACCCAGGGCCGCCCCCACTCCCAGAGTCATGTAAGAGTTCCATCCTAGCAAAACGGTATTCAGTTTAGTCTGGGGGAAGGAAAGAAGAAAGGATCAATTCTTCAGGATGAAGAGTAACACCGAGAAGTACATATGCTCTTCCCCTGATCTAACAGAGGAAAAAACGTGCGAATCAAGTTTGGGGCCTGCTTGGAGCCGGGGCATGGTGAGCAGGGGAGGGAAGGAAGGCAGCCGGCCCTGCCTCCTGGGATTCACACTCTGAGTAACCTTCCCGCCCTGTACCCGTTCATGTGTGGCCAACAACAGTGATGGTCACCCGCTTCCAAAATCAGGGTATAAAGGACGGTGTGGCTTCCTTCAAGTGTTCTCTCTCTCTCAGACCCCGGGCTCTGGGGAAAGCTGGCAGCCATGACGTGGGGATACTGAGCAGCCTATGGAGAGGCCCAGAGTGGAGGAACTGAGGCCTCCAGTCAATAGCCGGTGAGAACCTGAGACCTGCCAGCAACTGAGTGAATTGAGATGACCAGCTGACAGCTTGACGCTCCTGAATTCCTGATCCTCGGGGGCTATGGGATCACAGGGGTGAGTCAGGTGGAGGCCAAGACAGCCTAAGGTGCGGGGGGGTGGGGGGGAAACCCTGGGGTAAGCCAAGTCTTCGTGGGAGTGAGCGATTTCCCTGGGCTGTGGACTCCCACGGCCTCTGCCCTTTGAAATCACCACGACCAGAACGCGCACGGTGGCTGTACTCGCTCCTGCCGAGCACTGTGCTGAATGTGTATCACCTCCATCTTCCACACTGCGTGCTGGACATGGAGACGCGGTGAGCTACGCAGAGGGGAGCAGGGACAGACAAGGTCACCTGGTGGCGGAACTGCTCTTTGTCCTGCAGCCTTCAGAGGCTCCCCTCAGAACAAACGGCTGCAAGAGCTGACTTAAGGGAAGTGATGCTTCATCTCATGGGGCCATGACCAGGGTAACTGTAAGCGACGGGGCAGAGGGTCCCTATACTTCCATGATCCTCAATGCAAATTGGGGACCGGCATCAGGTGAGAACATCAGCATCTGATACCTATGCTGTAGGAAAGAGCGAGGAGAGGGAACACTGCCACCCTCAGCCTCCGCTCGGGCAGCACCCTGCTCACGGCCGCCGCCCTCAGGTCAAGGCGGCATGGCCAAAAGGCTGCATGGGACTGTGACTGGGTGGACAGAGGAGCCTGCAGGAGCGAAGGGCCCGTGCAGGGCCTCAGCAGAGGCACAGGCTGGTCCCAGGAACGGGACAGGGAGGGCAGGGGGAGGGCCTGGCACGGAGAGTCAGTGTCCCCTCCCGGGAAAGCTGCAGGCCTGTCTGCCCTCTGGCCTGCCAGTGGGCTGCCGTTCCCAAGGGCATCTTGGGTTTTAGAAGGAACCAGGGCTCCCTCTGGCTGCCGGAGCCCAGGGCCCTGTTCTTCGTCCTTCACAAGCCCACCGACTAGCCTTGCCCTGCCCCATGCTGGCTGGCTTGCCCACAGGGCCCTGGGCAGGAATGCCCCCAACCACAGCAGGTCCCAGGGATGGCTCACAGGCCTGTGAGATCGTCAGGAAGCCAAAGTCAGGATGCCCTCTCCTCTCCAGAATTCCTATTTATCTATTCATCACAAGGCTTTGTGGTAAGAGAGAGCAGTGTGTAAACATGTAAATACCTGATGTCAATGCTGGCCCCTCCCTCCTCGTCCCACCCGTGAGGGGGCTGCTGGTTGGGATGGAAGGAAGGTTAAGAGAGTGGTGCGCACGCCAGCAGGTTGTGCCCCTGCCCTCCAGGGCCCCTGTGATGTGCTTCTCAAGAATCACCAGGCTGGGGCTCGCCCCGGCCTGGCCTCACCCCACCCTGCCCCCACTCCCCATGCAAGGTGCAGGACTTGCTGCCACGGGTGGCAGGGGCCTGGGCCCAGCTCTGGCCTCACCGCCTAGTGGATAGGACGGGACTTACCTGGGCCCGGAGAGACCATGCTGGGGGTGGCCTCTGGCCTATGTGGCCGGGGGGGTCCAGAGTCCTTGGACGGGTCTGGAGTGGAGGCCGACACTGAGAGAGGGCAGGGGATGATCGCCGTGGAGGCGGCCGGTGCAGGGCGAGGCTTGGTGTGAGTGTCACTGGGCCGCTGGAGAGTGTCAGCCGGCACAGGGTCAGGAGCTGTGGGGGCCACAGCCCCGGGAAAGAAGTTCTCTCGGCTGTCCTTGGGGTGCTTTGGGGTGGTAGGTGTGTCCCCTGCGGCCTGTGAGAACAAAGGGAGGTGAGGAGGGCCGGCTGGGCAGCCCAGAGCCCTCGCCATCCCACAGGACACCTGCCTGAGCCTGGGCCTGCCAACATGCCCTTGTGGCACCAGACCCTGAGCCCCCCATGCTGCCAACGAGGCCCCCAGGCAGCCCTTCAGGACTCTGCAATGCTAGGAAACTGCTGGGGACCCACAGCCCCTCCCTGACAGGATGGCCAGGCCCTGCTGATAGGGACTCAGCAGAGGGCCTAGGGCTGGCCGACCTCATGCTCCCACTCTTGTGTGCCATACACAGAGGAGCACGACTCCAGGCAGGGGTCGCTGCACCCGATGCGGGGACTGCAATAACACAAAGTCAGTCTTGGAGGGCGATGTCCCAAGGGCCACTGGTGGGACCATCCTGAGGGAGCTGGGGTGACACCAAGAGTCAGCTTCCTGAGTTCAAGACTGCAGCCCCAAAGCCACGGTGCCAGACAACCTGGCTTCAGCCGCCCCAGCAGCTCCCACCACAGGCCTTCTGTTCTTAGGCGAGCCAGGCCCACTGGGGCCTCCCAGTCTTCGTCCACACTGTTCCCTCTGCCACCAGGTCCTTTCTGCTTTGCACCCAAAGCCCACGCTCCTGGGGTGGTGTGAAGGCTGCAGCTCACTGAGGGCATGCTGCAAGGTGGGTCCCTGTGTGTGAGCCTAGGGCCGACTGTACTATCTGAATGGGCCCACACTGGGGACAGTGGGAGCCCTCCTGGTGGCTGCAAGTGCAGGGAGGTCTCACACCTGCTGGGGGCACCTCGGTGCTGGGGAGCAGCTGGCTCCCCGCCGTAACTCTGCTTCTTCTGATCTCTGTTCTGCCTGAGATGTCCTGTCCCCGGTTTCATGGGGTCCGGGACAGCCCCTGCGACTCTGCTGTGTGATGTGTGTCTGGGATGAGCATAGGCTTCCATGGGGAGGATGGGCAGGGCAAACCTGTCTCTCATGGGCAGACATGCCATGGAGAAGGTGGGTGCTATGTCTGTCCTTGCAGGAGCCAGCCTCAGCCACCGCAACAGCACTGAGCCTCTAATTATGTCCAAAGCACTCTCCAGGTGTGTGCTGGGCTGCCATGGCAACTGGGACATGCCTCCAGCAAAACGGACCCTCCCTGAGGGACAGGAGAAGCGGGCTCAGGGGCATGGCCGCCCCCTCCCTGGCATTGGCCAGAGGCGGGCCCAGCCCCAGCTGGGTGCTGGTCCTCTTTGGGCCTCAATCTCCTCAACTAAGAAATGGGACTCTTCCCTGCCTTTGGCTCCTGCCAGCTCAGCACCTCCTTTTGCCACAGGACAGGGAAGGTAGGTGTTTGGGGGTTTCCTGTGTGGTTCTATCACTTGGAGCACCTTTTATTTATTTATTTATTTTTTTTTTAAGATTTTATTTATTTATTTGAGAGAGAAAATGAGAGAGAGAGAGAGAGAGAGAGCACATGAGAGTGGGGAGAGTCAGAGGGAGAAGCAGACTCCCTGCTGAGCAGGGAGCCCGATGTGAGACTCGATCCCGGGACTCCAGGATCATGACCTGAGCCGAAGGCAGTCGCTTAACCAACTGAGCCACCCAGGCGCCCTTGGAGCACCTTTTAAAGGCTGCATCAGAAACAGTCCTCCTCTGTCAGGAGTGCCCACTGCCCACCTGCCCCCTACCTGGGTCAGCAGAGGAGGCAGGAGGGGACCCCTGGGGCCAAGCCCCGCACTGGGGCCCTGGGCAGTTACTCCTGTCCCAAGCAGCAGAGGCTGTGGTGAGGGCGGCAGGGGCTGCGCCGTGAACTCTGGCTGCTCTGGCCATGGAGTGGCGGGGATTGCTGGTGGCCTGGGGCATGTCTCCCCTGGGCTTCTGGCCCTCAGCTGAGGGATCAGCCCGCTTGGTGAAGACTGAACTGGACTTCCTCAGACCTAGAGCCTGGGCAGGGATGGTGGCCCGCTATCCCATTTCACTGAGAGGAAGTCTGTCTGGACACGGAGGGCATCCACCAGCCTGCTGCTGGGGGACCTGGGACTTGAGTCCCCAGGCTGTAGGTGGATGGATACCCACTGTCCTGAGCTCCTGCCTCCGGACTCCCTGCGAAGTACTTCCCCAGGGGGAGATGCCAAGAAAGGGCTGTGTGTGGGCGAGGATGGGAGGGCAAGACCTGCTCTCTTGTGCTGCTGGGGAAGGGGCAGTTGGGCCACCCTTGGAGGGACAAGAGGCCACACCTATTCAAATGGCAAGTATCTGCCCTCTGACCCAATGACCCAGGCCCAGGGGTCACTCCTGCAGAAATGCCCAAGTGTGGTGCAGGAAGATGCCCCGTTGGCACTACTGAACAGGACTGCAATGTCCCCCCAGCTTTAGACAGGATGCCCCCTTTCTCTGCTAGCCAGATCCTGCCTTCGGGCCTGTTCTTGGGCTGGGCCCCTCCCAGGGGACCCCTCTCTCCTTCATCCCCAGCCCCTCACCCCCTCCTCAGTCCCACTACTCCTCAAAAGCTGTGGCCTCTGAGCCCCAAACCGATGGCTTCTGGGGCACCTACACCCCGGGCTCCAGCCTAGACCTCTCTCCTAGAGGAAGATCCGCCGGCCAGAGCCCAGGAGGGCTCACCCCTCCTCCCTGTCACCAAGTCACGCTGGCCCATCTTCTGCCATCTCAAACCCACCTGTTGCTCACTGGGCCTCTGCCCCAGCCCATTCTCTCCACTCAACGGCGGGGAGGCTTTCTCAAACCTGGCACCACCCGGCTCCCTCCCTTGCTGAATAAACCCCAGGAACCCCATCCATTCTGCTCCTATCCAATTCATATCCCAGCCCCACATCACTCCCTCTACCTTTGTCCCAGATGACCTCACCTTTCCAGGTGTGGTCAGCTGGGTAAGGACCATCTTATCTTCCCCATTTACAGAAAAGGCAGCTGAGGTGAGGGGACCCCTCAGGTCACACACTCAGAGCTGGGGTCCGGGCCTGCCAAGGCCCCACCTACCACACAATGCTGCTCCACCTGGGCCAGTGATCAGGGGCTCCCTGTGGGCCTGAAGCTCGGCGGCCACCTGTCCATCTCCCCTTGGCCCATGCTGGCCCCATGCTGGTCCCTCCTGAGGTGTGCCCATGTTTCGGCCTGCAGCCTGGGGCCCTGGCGTGGGGCCGGCCCCATAGGAGGAGGTTGGCACAGGCTGCATCCAGCTTACCTGTCTCTGGGTGGCAGCTCCAAGGTGGACCTGACAGAACTTCACGGCCTGCTCCAGCGCAGCCTCCTCGTCCACCTGGGCAAGGAAATGCTCAAAGTCAAAGGGCCCGGGCCATGGTGGCTGGCCTCATCCCAACCCCCAGAGTGTGAAGATCCCCTGACACTCCCACCCTGCTTGGGGAGCATGGGCAGAAGCACACATCCATCTCCCGGGTCCATCCCACAGAGCCACTGCCAGGCCAGCCCTGTCGAGATCACGCCTAGACGGGACCATGTTATTGCGTCCTCAGGGGCTGAGGCTGGCAGAATCGGAGCCAGATCCCGCTCCTCAAGCGAGCGGGATGCAAGGCCTTTCAGAGTTTGAGGTCTGGGTGGGGGGAAGGTCTGATGGACCCAGAGACCAAAAGCAAGCCCAAGGCACAGGGGGATGGCAAAGGAGGCCAGGGAGGCCCGGAGGCTGCCCTGGGGGAGCGGTGGGCAGGGCGTGAGGAAGGGCCCACCCTCACCAGCAGGGAATGCAGGGCATGGTTCTTCCTAATTCATCAGCAACAGAAACAAAGAAAGGCTGATCCCGGATGCTGGTGAGGGGGTGACAGAACAGGCACTCTCCAAAGTGGAACCACACACAGACACGATTTGGGAAGAAACCGCTTATCAGGTTGGGCACCCAGTCTGAACCAGCCACTGCAGTTCTGGGGGCTCTTCCTGTACAAATCATTTTAAATAGAGAAAGAGCTATATGTCTAATCTATTTAAACAAAACAAAACAAGAAGGGCGGCAGTGCCTGCTCACATACTCAGGGCACTGCAGCCCCCTTCAGATGCCAGCCACAAAGGTGTCTGAGGAAGTGCCCCAGAGCCCGGCACCAAGGTAGGGTCAGGGGTCCTGTCCCCCTGTGTTGGATGTGATAAGATTTCTGCAAATGGATTCATTTCCTTTAAAGTTGAGAAGAGAGTTTTCCAAGCTTGTTGTTTCTCCTTTTTGTTTTCTTTTTTGTGGGTGTATTTTCCCCAGCTCTCTTGAGATACAGTTGACAAAATCGCCCCATACTTAGAGCGTACAACACGATGACTGGACGTGACCCTTGTTTTTCTGACTCTACGGCCCGCTTATGGTAGAAAACCTCAAATGTAGAGAAGCGAACAGCAAGGCTGGAGTGGGAATGATACCTAACAAGCATGCCCCACGGGCCCTAGCACCCTGAAACAAACTGCGAATGACCTTTGGTGAGAATACAACTGCAGACCTGCCCTGCGGCCACCCACCTGCTTGATGAGCATGTAGGTCTCGGACATGATCCTCTCGATGCGGCCCAGGTCGTAGGCCACACCCTTCTGGCCCTGCTGCCACACCCGGTAGGCGTCCAGCAGCAGTGTCTTGCCCGACTCTGTGTCCTCCAGGAGCTTCCTCTTCCGGCTGGGGCATGTGGGTGGCTCCTCGGGGTGGCTGCCCCCTCTGGCCCCACTGGTGGTGGTAGGGGCGGCGGCCGGGGCTGGCTGGGCCAGTGGGAGCGGGTTGGGTTGCTGCCGGGCACTGATGCTCAGCTCCTCCAGGGACAGCTCAGTGGGACGGTTCTCAGGGCCCCTGTCCCTTGGGGGGCGGCCTGGCTGTGGGGGCGGTGCCCGTTCGGAGTCTGAGCAGCGAGCAGTGGCCTCACCCGTGTCCATGGGCTCGGCAGACCCTGCCCGGGGACTCTCCTTGTCCTTCCGCTCCCCGGCCTGGTCTGTGCTGTCTCCTGCCTCCATGGCCACAGGCCGGTGGTTGAGAGGGCCCACTTTGCCCCCTGGCTCAGCCCCTGGCCCTGAGCCATCAGCCAGAGGGGGCTTCTTGGGGTGGGGGAGGCCCTCTTGACTATCCTCGGGGCTGGCCTTGTGGGGGACGTCGGTGGTCATCCTGGCTCCAGAGAGGCCACAGGCCTTGGGCCCTGGACGTTCTGACCCCTACGAGAAAACCGAAGGTAAAAGACTGTATCTTTTGTGCTTCTACCATAACAAAACACCCCTGGGTGTCAGGGGTGCCCATCCTGGGCCACTCTGGGTCTGCCCATCTGCTAGTTGGCCCAGGCTGGGCCTGGAGACCTGCCTGAGGAAGTCCCTCCCTGTTCTGCTCCTCCTGCCTTGGGAGGGACTGACGGGGCACTGGAGGTGGTGCTGCTCCAGAAGAGTAGGCCCAGCCTGTGCGGGGATGGCCTTCCTCTAAATGCGGGCCTTAGGGCAGTCCTGGGCATCTAATGGGGGAGGGGGGACCCACCAGGGGCTACCTTGCATACTGCTGCACTGCTGAATTCTGTTCTGGGCTCTCACGTGCCCCTAATGCACAGCAGCCGAGGTGGAGTCTCAGGCCGCCACCCTGAGCCCCTGCACCGGCACTGCCCCGGCTCAGACCCTTCCTGCTAGGCCGGTGACCTAACCTCCTAGGCCTCAGGGTGCTCAGCTATGAAAGGCGGTGAGGGCTGTGCCTGCCTCGGGGGGCGGGGGGGGGGGCGGTAAAAAGGAAGCAGGTGTGCCTGGAGCAATCCGAGGCCTCGCTCAGCCCACCAGGAGCCCACCATGTGCTTCAACATCAGAGCTGCTGTGACCCCGAGGTTGACCTGCCAGGTGGGGGTACACTGCTCAGGTAACAGCCTCAAGGAGTGTCGCTACTGTCCTCCCTGACCACAAGTCCACATCTGCCAAGCGGGTCAGTGCCTCACTAAGTGTCTGCCACTTCCTTATTGTGCTGACCTTCGCCAGCGGGGGAGGCAGAGCGCGCTACTTCACAGGTGGCCGGGGCCGCGGCCTGGGAGAGGACAGGGGCCACAGGCGTACCTCTGCAAGCTCGCTCAGGGTGTCCTCCAGCACCTTCACAGTGAGGATGAAGGCCCGCTGTGCCAGGACCTGGCGGTCAGCATCTCGCAGATACTTCCTGCAGGCACACAGTGGTGGCCAGAGAAGAGAGCCTCAGAGCCACAGGGCCCTGGATGGTGGCCCACGCCCCTCCCTGCCCTGAGAACACCCGCTGGTCCCTCAGCATCCCTCCTGCCTCGGTCCATGCCCTGGAAGCCTTCCCTGAGCCTCCTGCCTCGGCACCAAGCACAGACTGCCCTGGGCTCTCCAGACCTGGCCGGGAACCCCGGGAGCAGGGTGGGCAGGGCCAGGCCGAGTGAGAGCTGGGGGCCTCTGGCTTCTCTCTGTAAAGTCTGTCTACAGGGCGCCCCAGGCCCCGGCTAAAGGCCCCACCCCAGCTCCTAGAGGTAAATGAGACGGGAAAAGGTAAAACAGTGCAGGCTCAGAGGACAGCTGTTCACCCAGCTGGGCCAGACCACGTCTCCCAGGATCCCCTACAAGCCCCCCAAGTGGCAGCTGCAGCAGATGCCCCTCGGGCCTGTCTGGCAAAGGGATCCCTCATTACCTCTGCAGCCCAGGTCCCCCTGTTGCCTGGCTGGTTATTACTCGCCTTCACCTGAGGGACCCTGGCTATCATCTGGACACCTGTCTTTCCGCAGACCTGACAGCACCCTGAAAGCCCCAAGCTAAAGGGAAGCAGGAGGAAAGGAAGGGGTAGCTTGTGTTTGCCCCAGGGGGCACAGGGCAGGGTGTGGTCTAGATACCGGACAGAGAGGCCCCTGGAGAGAAGGGCTGGTCTAGGCTCCCCAACCAGCGGAGAGACGCCCCAGGTGGGTGAGGGGCTCTAGCCTGCGTGTGCGCTCCTGCTCTGACCCCCGGCAGCGCGAGCTGCCCTCACGGGGCTGAGCACACACTAGGCCGGGCGGCTGCACTCACTTGCCCTGGTCCGGGGTCCGCTGCAGCATGGAGGACACCTTCAGCAGGGTGCTGTGGTCCCGGAGCTGGGCCAGCACCTTCAGCAGCAGCACAATGGAACGGTTCATGTGCCAGGCGAAGCTGCCTGGCCGGTCGATCTCGTCCACGGGGATCCGCCAGATGCCCTGTGAGATGGACAGGGGTGAGCGTGTGAGGCGGGGGCTGCTGCGGCTGGAGGCTGCCACAGTACCAGAGGGCACTCTGCCCAGTCCACGATGCCTCGGACCCCTCTTGCTGTCCCGAGGGGAGTGGGAGGGTGGCCACCCCCACCTACGTCCCCCTGCAGATGGTGGCAAAGGATACACGTGCTGTTCCGCACTCTCCTCCTCTGAATGGTTGCATGGCACATATGTACTTGTTCTGTCCCCTATGGGAAACACGCAGGTCATGCCTAGTCAAATGCAACCAGTGGGAGAAGCCCAGAGCCTCTGTGCCTCCACGCAGCTGCTGACTCAGCCACGGGACCAATTCCTAGGGTCAAACTGATGGGTCAAAAGGTGGCCACTGTGAACTTCTGGCAGCTGTTGCTGGCCAGACAGGCTCAAGCCTGGCCCCCACCCATGTGTATTCGCTCGAGCAATGCCCAGAGTCTAGAGGGCTGGGTTGAAAATGACCTGCAGCTTGCAGAATGCCCCGGTTCCCTCCAACCTGCCTTTGTCCGGGATGCACTCCGCCTGGAACCCCCTCCTCCACTTCTCAGCCATCCAAACTCACTGTCTGAAAGGCTGAGCTGGAGCAGGGCTGGCTCTGGGGAGCCCTGCCACCATCTCCCTCAGTCTGTGCTCAGCCCACTGCTGCACTGGGCACCCTGCCCTTCGGCAGCTCCCTGGGGCATCCCCACACCCAGCACAGTGTCTGAGACATAGTGGTCCAGGTGAGGCGTGGTGAAAGAAAGGACGACCAAGGGTGCAAATTATAAGTGAAGAGAAGCAGGCCTGAGGCTGCAGGGCCTGGACATTAGGATTTATGTCTCTGGGGCAGGACTTTGGGGGCCCGGAGGGAGCAGGCAGGCTCACAGCTGGCTCTCTGTGGCTAACACCCTAGGGAAATTCCTGCCCAGAATGGACTGGGGCTGTGAGCAATGCTGCCTCCTCTACCTGGGGCCCCCAGCAGGGTACCCAAGGCGGGGTACAACTCCCAGGGCCCTATTCCCATGGGTGCTCACTGACTAAGTCTATGCTCCAGCAGTCCCAGGAGGGAAGGCAGGGCACCTCCAAGCCCCCACAGCCTCCACACTGGATCCCTGGGCTTACACCGGACACAGACCCGCCACCCCCCCACCCCCGAGTAGTCTGGGGGTGCTGTGTGAAGGCTGGCAACCACCCTTCATCCCAGGCAGTGCCAAACAAGGCACTAGCTGCTTCCCGGCCTGGACAAAACCAGGAGGCTGAGGCCACCCTCACCCACGGCACTGACACCAACGCTGTAACTTCCCACTGGGCCCAGGGGGCTTCTGCAGCAGCTCAGGAAAAGCTGCCACTTGAGAGGACAAGGGACAGCTTTGAGCAGCTGTCTGGTCACTGTGGCCCTGACACCCTGCCCCCAGATGTACAGCAATGGCCGAGAAGGTGCCATCTCTGTTGCCTGCCAGGCCTAGCGGTGTAAGACTAAAGAGCCCGGCTCTTCCACGGCACTGCAGACATCACCATGTTACATTCATCACCATGTTACGTTCATCACCATGTTACGTTCATCACCATGGGCTCGCACAGCCACGTCAGGGAGGGCGGAGCTCAGAGATGAGGAGTGACTCCCTCAGGGTCACACAGCAGGAGGGGCAGCCCCAGGGCTGGCCCCTCGCCATGCCCACAGCTCTGAAGACAGGGAGGACAAGCGCAACCAGCCCAGAGGGAAGCCTCCACCACATGCCCCAGCCCTCTGCTGCTGGTCTCGGGCTCCTTCCCACACCTAACAGGAGAGGGGGAAAGCCAGAAACACAGCCCGACCATGTGCCAAGACCCTGCAGGCGTGTGCCAGGGCTGGCCCAGAGCCACAGGCCAAGTCCCGGAGCTGGGTGTGACCCTACTGCTCCCGGATCTCATTCTTCCTTAGGGCACAGAGGGGCGTGCCCTGCTCTGCACCATCAATCCTAAGGGCCCAGAATGACCCTGGATTTCTCTGAATGCCTCCCTCTTCCCTGGCTGAACCTCTGAAGACTCAAAGGACAGAGGGAGGTCACTCTTCCCAGTGTACCTTGATCTGGGGTCAGAAGGTCTCTCCCAGCTGCCTTATGAGCACGTGGGGGCGGAGGGCCCCTGACGTCCTTCGGGGAATAATCAGGGAGGATGAATGGAAGACTCACATTTGTTCCTCCAAATCGTGTTTGGGGGTGGCTGTGTAAGGAGAAGGGTGCTGACTTTTCTGGACCCTACCCTGGTGAGTGGCTCTGTTCCTCCCATGGCACCCCTGCCCTCCATGCTGGCTGAGTCAGGGCACAGGCTGGGGGAGGAGGGGAGGAGGTCTGAAGACAGGCCTGCCAGGGACTTGGGGTGAGCCTGGTTGTGGGCAGAGGCAAGCGTCATGGGGCCTCAGATATGGTGCCCATGCCTCAAGAGGCTCCAGGCACTTTGGGAACATGGGCCCCAATGCCTGGCCCCCACAACCTGCCTGGTGGGCACCAGCCTCAGCCTGCACGTCTGGGGAGCTCACCACCTCGGGAGGTGGCCCATTTTATCCTTGATAAATTGTTAGAAAAGGTTTCTTCCACTGTGCTATAACCCCAGGGATGTTCCCACACCCCCGGCCCTCCCTGGCATCCAAGCCTGCACCTTGTGCCCCTAACATTCCTGCCCCAGCTTGGCCCTCATCCTGCCTCTTCCTCCCACTCTTGCCCCCAATCCATCCACCCAGCCTGGGCCAGGACAAGTTAGGAAAAAGATAATGTGAGCGCATCCCTCCCCTGCTTATATCCTTGACAGCCAGCTCCCTTACCTACCTCAGCTGAAGCCCGAGACTCACTGGCCTTTGCACCCCTCCTCCCTTGATCCCGGACACTGACCACGCCCGCCCCCTTATAGAGCTGTGAATTTTATACTTCTCACTTTTTGGGGTGCCCTCTCAAGCCTGGCTGTGATGTCACCTCCTCTCTGAAGCCCTCCTGGCTTGCTGCCCTCCTAAGTCTCTGCCAGGACCACTCAGGGTCAGCCCCTTAGATGGTCAGGGGGTGGGCCTGTGGCTGGGAATGCATCCTAAGTGGGGGCAGGTCTGCTTTAGCTCCAGGTCCCCAGGGACCCGACACAAACCTGGTAGAGCAGGCAAGGTGTCCGCCCAGCCTGAGAAGGGCTTGCTGCTCGCAGAAGCCTAGCTCCTCCATCTCCCCACCGGTCTCTCACCCTGGAGATTTCTAGGGTAGGTGGGAAACAATTCTGCTCTTCTGAATGCTTTTCAGGGCTCTGGGTGTGCATATGAGCCCTGCACTGGAGGGGGGTGGTGGCAGCACGCCTCCTTGCTGATGGCAAGTCAGCAACACGCTCACTGAGGGCTGGCAGGACCTGGGGCTGCTTGGAGGCCTATCCCGCCAGGCTCCTGGTCGGGCGAGGGCCAGCTCTCCTCTCTCCCCTGAAAGAGGCGGAGCCGAGAAGGCGATGCCAGAGATAAAAAACGTTTGGCCCTCTGCAGGGTGGGCCAGGTGACCACAGCAGACTTGGCAGATGGTGCGGTCATAGGTAGGGTCCCTGCAGAGAGGGGATCCCAAACTCCTGCTCTTGCTCTCAAGTTCTAGAATCAAAGACACAGGGCATTTACCTGTTTGGTTTTCTTCTTGGAAGAGGGATGGGATGTGCCAAAATGAGCCAGTAAGCACGCTAAAAAAAAACCTCTCTGAAGGACTTACCATGTCACCCCCCGAAGTGGGCCAACCTGGGACTGTGAGGGGTGGCCAGGCACTGCCAGCCCCACCGGCAATCATATGCAGGCAGGGGCTGTCATCTGCTCCTTGAAGCAAGGAAGTGCCTCAGATAAGACACTTTCTGGATGCACAGCGAGCAGGGGTCGGGGTCTGCCTGCCATCTGCTCCCTGTCACGCCACGGCACCACAGGCCTGCCCTTCCCGCCCCTACCGTTCCTCCTCCACCCCATTCCTGATTCCCAGGATGCTGCTCCCAGCCAGGCACTGACAAATCTGGTGGCATCAGAGTTCCACGGTCATGGACGTTTTCAAGCACACTTAGCTGGCTCAAACTGCTCATTGTGCAGGTGGGAACTCGAGGCCCACTGAGGGGCAGCAAGCCCCCAGCTCCATTGCTGGACGGCAGCCAAGCCCAGAATGCAGGTGGATTCCCTCCTCACAGCTGGGGTACTGGGCTACCTTCCACCGCAGCCACGGACTGAGAGCCTGGCTGAGCAGCCTCTGCACGGGCCCGGCCCGTCTGTGATCACTCTGAGAGCAGAACAGGGTCCCTGTGCCCGGGAGCCAGACTCCCAAAGGGCTTTTAGCCAATCTCTGAGGAGGGACGGGGCCAGGATGCACCCTGTGAGGACAGGTCTACTTTGTCCCACGTGTTTTAGGGCGCCCTGTTAATCCATCTCCTTTCCAGATATGTGCACGCGGCCATAACGTAGCCCCCTATTTCAGCAAGGATGGAAGACCACACAAATCAGGCAGAGAGTCCATAGACATTCCGAAGGGAACCACAGCCACCATAAGCCCCGGGGAGGTTCCTGCAGACACGCAGCAGCCTCCAGGGACAGCTGGCCCGAGGGCGTGGAGCCACCAGGCAGAGTCGCAAGCTGGCAGGGTGGCAGGTAAGCCAACAACTCCGCCTTCTGCCTGTGTTTGCAGCCAGAGCCCCCACGATACCAGCAGCCCCGAGACGAGTGGGACCCTCCCCGCCCCCCCACAGAGGGGAAGAAGCCAAAGCACAGTCCCACATACTGCCCCTCAGAAAAAGACAGCCCTGCCGTGCCGGGCCTGCTCTGAAGCCCCTCAGAGAACCAGGGAGCTCCCAGGGAAGGGACAGGCATCGGGCGAGGGATGTCTGCACGCGGGAGGAAGGGGTACAGCCAGGCCCCACCTGCAGCAGCCAGGGCCACATGCGCAGGCCTCAGGGAGGGTGCAGGGGATGTGCCAGGAGGCATCTGAGGGGGAGGAAGAAGGGGCCTAACGGGAAGAGAGTAGGCAGCAGTG